AGATTCATCATTATTTGTTTGACAATTCTTTCCAAGTAATTTAACATACCAAATAAACAAGCCTAATTAGTCAAAAAGCCTTCATTTAGAATTCAAATCTTGAGGACGTTTGTTAAAACCCTCAGAAAGTTTTAAAGTACACGTTTAAATAGGATTATGGATTGTTATAAAACTTGAAACGTAATTATTTATTTAACCAAGGTGGCAGTAAGGTTTAAAAGGCAAATATGTACGGTTATATAGCTGTGAGTAAAACTTAGCTCCTTTAATATTGAGAAATTTTAACCTTTTTTAAGTAACCAAAGACCCAGTAAAGAAAAATATAGAAACTTTGGTTTTCTAGGGAGACAGTCAAGAAGAAAAAAGAACTTTGCTTACATTGTTTTCATCAAGATCCAAACAACAATCCAAGAAACCTTTGTCGTTTTTAACAGAGAGGAAAGCAGAATTTCAATCTTATAACAGTGTACTTTTTAAAATCCATTTATTATAACATTGTCCTTACAGCACATGAAATTCCTTTCCAAAGGTTTCCCTTCTTGAACCTTTTACAACCTTTATTTATTTTTTTTAAATACAGAGCTGCTTTCCTTATTTCCATCAATCGTAACTACATTTAGCAGAAGAATTTTAACTCTTAGAAACCTTAGCCTCCAGTGAAAACTAAGTAGTGAACACTTGTGAACTGTCTGTTACACCAGAATTTTTCTAGATCTGAACTTTTAAGACATAGGTTTTCCCGGAGTACAATCCTCAATAAAGCACACAGCATATTTACCAACAACCCTAAATATCCTCAGGTTCTGTGCAATGAGAAGCCAAAAGCACAAAACTATGTTAAATAATCATTGCTTTAGTATTTTATCTCATTTGGAAAATACTTAGATACTGATGAATTCAAGCCAGTTTATCATTTAACTTAGCAAGACTTCAAAGTTTCAGGTTACCAAAGCTCTTGATAGCTATCTTAACAATTACTCATGAAAACCTTGAGAGAAACAAAAGTAACCATCATTTCAAGTCATCCCTTTGCTAACAAATTGCAACAGAGAGAATAGGAGCTTAGTTGACCTTTAGCAAATGTTGGTAAAGTTTCACATTTCATGCTGACAACCCCAAAGACATGTCTATCTTAATTAAACCCACAACCTAAAATTCATTTAAACATTGAGTAGGTTCTACCTGTGTCCACTTTGTTCCCCCTTTGTCAATTTTACCTGGGACACTGGTGTGGAATCTCAAGTGGGCAGTGTAAGTCCGAGGGTGTGCTCTTTGCTCTTGACAGTGAAGGGAGTGGGAGGAGCCAGTGGTGCCAGAGGCACCCAGGATGGTATGGGAACGAGTTATGCAGGCAGTACCCAAAGTGGTGGAGAAACAGGAAGAGGGGGAGGGGAAGGCAGAGATGGGAGGTCATCTTCCTGCTGGCAGGAAGGGTGGAGGCAGGTCAAAGCCCAGAGGGCAGAGAAAGAACTTTTCTGATACTGTCAGCTCAGACAGATGACCAGATGCAGTGGGGGTGTTTTTCCCCCACGCACAAGGTGAAACGGGCAGTCCATATTTGGCCAGAGAAAACAGGGAACTTCCCTGAAACAAAAGGAGTTTGGGCAGCTGCTGGAGAATATTCCTTGAAGTTCCTGTCCCAAGGTAGACTCACCAGAGACAATTGGCTCCAATTATCATAACCATTCACCTGGGAAATGAATGAAGAGGAGTTCCCACACTCAGCTAGAGGAACAAAATCTATAAGGAGGAACAAAGGGTGTCAGCATCCCTTTCGTTAGGGATGGCCTGTTTCCTCCAGCAAACTGTGTTTATTCAGAGGAGGCCTGTGTAGACAATAATCCAATATATCAGGAGGGAGTTTATCACCTTAGTGAGTGGCCAAACATATTCTGCAAGAGGCCCTTAGATCGGGGTCCTGATTTAGGGCCATTGAGGCCCAGTCACAGTTCCATTGTCTTGAAAACCAAGATAGTTGCTCTGAAATATTTCCACCTTCCACTGTTCTCTTCAGGCTTCATTTCTTTGTGTCTGGCTTTTCACTTTGGCCCAAACTGGATCGACTATTTATAATGATACAGGGACTGACTGTGGGGTCTGCTCTCTTGACAATGCTGCTTTGTGACACATTGTCCAGTGTTTGTTTGGAAAACTTAGTACACATTTTGTTTCTATCCTACTTGCAAACTGGGAAAAAGAAAAATCTACAGAGAACTTGAAAGGTGCTATTTTAGTAAATGCTTCAGAAGTTTCAGAAGTAAATTCCCTCTATTTCCTGCAGGATTTCCATTAGACACTTTGCTTTGCTTTTGGTGTCTTAGGACATTAGATTTATATGTTATCTACTGAGTGATCTTCTTCTTGGGGCCTAATCCACTAGAGAGAATAGTTTGCTCGGGTTCACCTTCCCGTTAATGACGTTCCTATCAGCAAAGTGAACTTCAAGTCTGAAGAAAATGAAGTGAACCTGAGGTCTGAAGAACAGCCTGTGCAGAAAGAAAATGCTCAGCTGAAGATCCAAAAGAATCAGGTAACAAAACTTACTACCAAAAGTTCTATAAATCAGAGAACTGAACATCATTACTTCCTTGTGAGGTTTCTCTTCCTTAACTTTGGTAAAATACATGCATTAGAACATGCATCAAACATTTAAGTGTACATGTTAGTAGTGCTAAGTAGAGTCACGTTCTTCTATAGTCATTACGTCTTTCTCAAATCTGTCTTAAAGTCAGGAGATACCAGTGAACACATCAAGGATTTGATTCAGGGAGTCTTGACAAGAGGGAAGAAAGCCACATTTGGTAGAATGAGTTTGCTCTGGGAAGGTAAAAAGTGGCTTCCTGCCTTTGGAATCCTATCTTTTCTCCGAATCTCTCTCCTCATGGCCACACTCGTGGGAATGGGTTCACACACTCAAGTAAACTATTTTATGCTTCACAGGTAGCAAAAGGGACCTGGGAGACAACTGTGATGGGCTGAGGTGTGTGAAAGGCAAAGGAGCCCGAATGGGAAACACTGAAGAAGAATGCAGACGCTCTTGATGGAATGTGTGGACGGAGACAGAGTTACAGAAGAGTAAGACTTTCAGGAAATAATCGTTACAAAGACTGTTGTAAGAACGACTGTGTGAGACAATGGGGATAATTATACTTTCTTGAGCACATTTAACACCAACCATACTTTTACCATAGTAATCAGTCAAGGATTGTGTTTCTCCCCTCTGCCTTGATTTCTGTGATATGCATCTTCCTTAATTTTGTGGAAACCTCAGGGTTCATTTTCATTGTCCTTTACATTTCCATCCCATCATAGCAACATGACTGCCATATGTCTATAATTTGTTGTTAAAGACTACACATTGGGTAAGAAATATTTGGAGAAAAATCCAGGTGTACTATGATGGTATCTTGCAGTAGATGAGATGGGAGCTTACGTCTGATCAGAGATCAGGGCTGTCAGCAGTACTGAACCCTGTGAAATCAGTTTTCCTTCCCTTCCCTTCCCTTCCCTTCCCTTCCCTTCCCTTCCCTTCCCTTCCCTTCCTTTCCCTTCCCTTCCCTAGCCTTCCCTAGCCTTCCCTAGCCTTCCCTAGCCTTCCCTAGCCATTGCTACCCTTTCCTACCCTTCCTTTCCCTGCAATCCTTTTCAGGAGACAAGATTCTGAAGGTGGGACAAGTCACATCATTTTCTTTTTGTCAATGTATTTTGCATTCTTCTCAACTGGTGTCTTTGGGGCAGGTGGCAGGAGTTCCCTTGTGAACTGTAGAAATGTCCATTTGTAACACTGTACAGTGTTAACGACACCATGTCCAAGAAAAATATCTCTATGGCAGTGTCATGGCCCCAGCCTTGATTGAAAATTCAAGGTTCTTGGGAGAAACCAGACAAGTCAGGAACCCCTGTTTCATCCTTATGTGTTTAGTTGTGATGAGTTGGTCCGGCTTGGTTTTGTACATTGAAATGACATACACTTAGGCAGTCCCAATCAGAAGAGCCTGAGCCTGGGTTAGGGCGCTTAGTGCCTCTCATGTGGGCTTTTTATGTTTATGTGATGCATCGATGAGTCGGCATAGAGAAGCTCAGAGTTGCCAATGCTGGAGCTTGAGTTTGTGTAGTCCTTTTTGGGAGGGTGCATCAGTGTTTCCCCCTGTTGTGTTTGGAGATCTGTGTGTTTACAGGGAAGGGGAGAAGAGACATTTGAGTCCTGCCTTCAGATTCTGGGGAGGGAAGAAAAGCAGAATTTCACATGGGCTACCAGGTGATGTATGTTTCCTTCCCCTCATAGGAAGCTGGGACTGAAAGAACAGGAGCAGGTAGAAGGGGAGAAGGAGCTGTCAGCCTCAGAGGAGAAACTGAAATTAGCTGCAGAAGAGCTACGGAACTACAAGTGAGTCCAGCTCCTACCAGCAGCAGCTCACACACGCCTGTTGGATCACTTTGAAACTTTGTACAGTGCTTAGACCCAAGTAGCACACAATATCCAGAAACATTCAGGAGACATTTATTTATATAGAGACTTCAAGAAAAATGTGACCTTTTCCAGATGTTAAGTGAAAAATATTAATTTAAACATGTTAAGTCACTAAAGATTTCATGATCCCAATGCCAGCCAGACTTTGTGGAAATGTGGTTCCCGAACATGTTTCTGGAGGTGCTGGAAATTATCATAAACCCCAGGAAGCGGTTTGGTGGATGACGAATCACATCAACAAGTATGACCATCCCATTTGAGAGACTCCCTTGCTGTAGCCATGAGAAATATGATAAGGATCTAAGGAAAAGAAGACTTGAACTTTATGATGAAAGATACCCATTGCAGAATTATCAGTGGTAATCAATAACAGGGAGTTGTCACCTCTGGTAAGGAGACCGTGTCAATGCAGAGCCCCACTGGAATTGAAAATAATAAATACAAGATGATGTAGCGATACCTTTGGGCTTTCTGTACTCTCCTTCTCATGTGAAATGTGTCTTATAAGACTTGACCATGTGTATGAGAGTTCATTTCTTACAATGAAAACCTGGGCCAATTACTGTCACCCTCAACATGGTGATTCATCTGATGAAAGCAATCGTCACTCCCAGGAGAAGAGTAGAAGAAACACAAGAAGAGCTGCAGCAGTCAGAGCTCACCTTTGGAAACCAGGTAGCCTGCGCTCAGCCCGGTAGTTCCTGAGTCCTTCAGCACCTAACGCAGATGATCATAATGGGCCACTGAATCTCTCCACGTGCGTTTTCATTAATGTGCTGGCTCTTTCAGATTGCTCTTTGTGAGAAGGCGGCTCAGGACAACTAGGTAAGAACGTTTTCCTCTTCTCTTCTTGTGCACACTCTGCCACAGCTGAACGTGGACATGTTTCTCTCTCCCAGCTCAGGGCTTGTGATCTGGAGAGTGCGGTGGTGGAGCAGAGCAGGGAGGTTGCTTACTTGAAATGCAGGGACAGGATTTTGACATATGTCTTGTAAAGGGCATCGTGAGGTTTTTAAAAAGACTAAATTGTTTGGTGTTGAGTGGAGTCCTCGGCGTGGTAACTCTTGGTGAAACAAATTCATCTCGATCTTGCAGAATGGAAGTCATCCGAAGACCGAGGCTTCCAGAGGAATCCAGGAGGCACAAACCAAGGTCAGGAGGACCTGCCAGGGAGATCCCTCCATGGAGAGGTAAGGAGCACGTTGTGAAATGCAGTAGCTTAACTTCTGTGGCAACATCCACACAATCGGCTTCTGGTTCAGTGGATGTCATTGTTCGGTCTCCTACAAACAATCCCAGGTGGTTACTAGAGGGCACAGATTGTCTCACAGTGGTGACAGGACACTGTTTGTCGCAGATGGCCCCAGCCAGCAGGGCTCTTTGGGTCTGTCCCTTGTGAGTGGTGGGTCTCAAGCCCCTCCAGCATCTCTGGGTCCCCGTGCAACTTCCCGGTTCCATGTAACTGGAGAGTGGGTGCTAGAACGGATGTGGGTCAGCCCCCTTTCCACCTCGAGACAATGTTGAAGTATTTTTCTTTCGTTTCAGATTAATAACATGAACAATGGCATGAATTAGAGGCTGTATGTCCTGATTAGCTTATTGGTTTGCCTTTTGGATAAATATTCCACGGAAAATCTGCTTTTTATAAAGAAAGCAGACATTTCTTTCCTCTCTTTGGAGGTCCCTTTATTCTTTAAAAAGTTTTTCTTGTGTATTGGGAACTATAGTACCCCATTAGTAAAGTAAATCCTATGACGTTTCACTCCTCTAATGTTATTTTATTAGTGTGACTCTAACACTTTGCAAATCATTCCACGTAGAATTAACCTCTCCCTTTCTCACTATTGTAGTATTAGTCTCTTCAAGGCAGTTTCTGTTCACGAATACTTATATAACCCCTTGTCAGATACATAAGGCAGTTTCTATACACAGTAAGACATTTGAAAAGTCCCACCCATGCCTTGTAGAAAAGGACAGTGTGCTGTTCATGCTGACAGTTACTGACATTATACTAAGCTATACTTCCTTCAATTTTTAATCTGTGATAAATTGTCATTTCCCATGATGTGTATTAGGAAACCTTCTTTTAGTGTCGATTTCCAATGAATTGAGCCCTGACCTGTCCACAGTTGGTTGCTTATCAAATATGCAACCAACGCCTTCTGGTGCCTTCCTCAAGGCTCCTCTGGAGTCCCAAGGGTTCACCTGTGCCACGTGGGAAACCCTCTGTGTCTGGAAGTGGACCTGGTAGGAAGCAGAGTAAGATGGTGGAGGAAGGCAAGGATTTTTTTTTTTGTGGGGGGGGGGGGGTTTCATCCAGTCTATGCAAGCCAGGATAAACCTCCTTCCCTTCTCTGGCTTCTATCCAATGCAGAACCTGGTGCAGCTTCCATGAGGAGCAACAGCCCTGTCCCTACTTTGGACACACAGAAGTTCAAGGTAAATGATGTGACCATTTTCGTTTGTAACTCTCTCTGGAAACTTTTCTCTCTTTATACAGCAATCTCTCCTGGTCTTGTCTCTAGTTTGTGTGTTCGGAGGTATATCTATGGTGTTATTTACTTTACAAAGAGTAAAACTCTTGCCCAAGAGCCTATGTTTTTAGCTTGTCATCCGTGCTAGTTCTAAGAGCTCTCTGTTCTTAGCTTGTCATCCTTGGTAGTGCCTCCAGAAGCCGTAAGTGTTTAGAGGCTGAGGACCACAGGACAGTCACAGTGTGATTGTGGAACTAACATGAGGAGGATGGCATCTCGCTCCACACTTACATCTCCTGGGCTGGCTCACTTCTTCCAGACCTCCTTTCATAGGAATGTTCCTGGGAAAGAAAACATTATTGTTGTTTTACTCCTTTTCTGTCCAGAGTTAGTCATTAAGGTGTTTACATCCGTTGTAATCCTCACTAACTGAAAAACATGAAAAGCCCAACTTTCTGAGAGGTGCTTAGCAATTTTGAATGCTCTTATTCAAAGTTTATTTCGTTCCAAATATCATAATTCATCACTTTTCCCATCTCTTTGGGGAAATGCACTTTTGCTGAGTCACAGCAGCTGTTCAAGTAGTAAAAATATTATGAGTTATCTGGGAAGACACATTCGCAGTAGAAAACATACACTAGAACTGAAAGAATAGAGAGTGAAAGTCAGGTCTGATGTGCCAGTTTCTGGAAAAGAGCTGATGCCATGTTCATGTAACCGGGCTCTTCTTTGGCCTGTGTAATTGTTATAGCTGGCATCTCCTATTGATACCTTATCTGTCTTTTCCACTTTGATATCAGAACATATTCATTTTAGTCCTGTCATTTCAAATTCCTAACATGTTTTTCCACTGGGCAAAATTAGTCTATATGTCATAGTGTATGTAAAATTCAGCATTCCCTGTGAATTTACATGCATCTATAACTTTTCCTGTAGGTGGCACTGTTTCTGCGGAAAACACTTTCCCAATTCCCCTGGGGGGGCTCCAGGGATGTCATCTCCCCATAGATCTTTGTGGCTTAGGGCAGCGTGTCCAGAGGGGGAGTGAGGTGAGCAGAGACTGCCAGCAGGACCTTGCAGGCAGAGCTGGTATCAACTCCTGCTTCACCTTTCGTAAGCCATTTACCCTCCTTCCTCTTAGAGCCTGTTTCCTTACATTAGAGCAGGGTGGCCATACTTATCTTGCAGAGTTCTGAGAATCAGAGCTCGGGCATGAAAGGCCTGCAGAAGGTTCTCACTTGTCTCCTGGTTAAACCACTCATAAAAATTAACTGGAGATGGATGTAAATGAATGATATGAAACCATAATTCCCCGTCCTTATTTCTGCACCTAATATGCCAAAATGGAGCCATTGAGGTGGTAAAGAACTGGGTGGAGAGTAGTCCTGGAAATAGATGACTGTGTGTGTGGAAGAGACATTCTTTAGGAGTCTGGAATTATCTTCTCTGATCTAGGACTGGCCGCTTCCTTCCCTACATTTGCAGACACAGCCGGTACTGCTCATGCTGCCAGCAATGCACCGCCTTGGCTCCTCAAACTCCTAGAAGCTCTAGGTTAGATCCAGTGGGAAGGGTAGAGTTTTGTGATATGAGGCTTCCCTGTTGAAACCAGGCAGAGGGGAGGGAGAAAGGCAACTGTTCCTGCTTCATAGGGGGTCAGCTATGTTACTGTTGGTGTTGGATTTTCGACCTTTTACCCTAATACATCTCAAAAGTTTAATCTCTGTCCTGCAGGTCAACGTGGCTGCAAGAGCATTTCCTCCTTTCCCAGAAGTGCCCTCCATGCCATACCCCATGGGCTACCCTTTATCACCATTCATGGGCTCTAGGCCACCCCCCGCCCCCCACCCTGGTGGCCTCTGGGACCTCACCGTCCACCTTCACCTGCACCATCTGGAAAGATGATCTAAACAGTATGAGTAGACTCATGAAACACGTTGCATCTTTTTTCTTGTTGAGTCTTTGGAGAAAATGCAGTGCTGGCACCACAGGCCTTTCAGGTCAGCCTGACTGAGGACGTCGTAATGTTTTTCAAGTTTCTCAGGACATGCAGGAAATGGGTTGTCATTTCCACACCTTGAGCTGGGCAGCACGTGTCTCTTACAGGGAAGGAAAGAGGCCTTATCCAGGCTGACAGACACAGCACTCCCTTGTACAGAAACCATGTGCTGGGCTCTCTGAGGGATGAGACACACCCCTAACTTTATTTCTAGCTAGTTGACACCAGAGCTGTTCACACTTGCTTGCTTAGTTATAAAAACACCTGAGTCAGGGCTAAGTGGAACCTTCCTCAAGGGACAGGGTCAGGTCTCCCTCTTCTCCTCAAGGGTCACCTAAGGCACGTGGAAATCCCTTCTGCCCCTGGTAAGGGACCAGAGAGTGGGAAAGAGTTGAATATAATCATGGGGGGGGGAGGGGGGGTTCTTCTGCAGTCTATGCAAGTCAGAATCAACCTCCATCCACCTCTGGGCTTTATGAGACCCAGGCTATGGTGCATCTCTCATGGGGAACATCAGTTGTATCCCTAACAAGGGCGCACAGAAAGACAAGGTAAAATCTGTTGCCCTTTTCAGTTGTAATGATTTCTGGAAACTTCTATCTGGCCTTGTCTGGTTTTCTATGTCCTATGGTGTCTTTGCCATTTTCTCTACTTTTCCTCAAAAGCCTCCAGTCTTCCCCATGTTAAGATCATCATGTTAGTTGGCTCCTCTGGAAGCCACAAGTGCGTGGAGGCTGAGGACCATATGGCTCTCACTTTGTGTTTGTGGAAGTAACTTGAGGAGGACAACACTTCACTGCACACTCAAGTCTTCTGGTGCAGCTGACTCTTTCTGCACCTACTTTACACAGGATTATTGTTATTCTTTTAATTTTTTTCTGTTTCAGTGTAAGGGATGAACTTGTTCAGAATGTCTACTATCAGCCTCATGACTGGAAAAGATGAAAACTCTTTCCATCTTTATATTGTGTGCTTTGTGCAGTGCTGACTGTTCTGAGATCAATTTCAGAATTCATCACTGTTCCCTCTGTGTTGGTAAATGTGCGATAGAGAATTTCTCCACTTGTCCCCTACGTGAAAACACTCTGAATTCTCAGAAGTGGCACGTGTACTACAAAATGTAATCTGGAACTGCAGTCGTGAAGGGAGAGAATGAGGGATTCCCTGCGGAGCCAGTACCTCACGGAGTCGTTCAGTGTGTTTATATGAGTAGGTTCTCTTGTGTTCGGGAGCTGTGGTAACTGGTACGCTGTCTCATGATACTTTATGGGAGTTTTACACCTGAAATCAAGATATGTTTATGTTCATTCCTTTATTTAGAATTTCCACTTCTCTTTCACAGTGGCACAAAATAGCTCTCCAATTCCTATTGTACTTAAAATCCAAATTACCTGGGGCGCCTGGGTGGCTCAGTCAGTTGAGTGTCCAGCTTTAGCTCAGGTCATGATCTCGCAGTTTGTGGGTTCAAGCCCCACGTCAGGCTCTGTGCTGACAGCTCAGAGCCTGGAGTCTGTCTTCGGATTCTGTGTCTCCCTCTCCTGCTCACGCTGTCTCTTTCTCTCAGAAATAAACTTTTTTTTAAAAAATCCGAATTACCTGTGAATTAAGATAAACATACCTGAGACCAATGAACGTGAACAGGTAATATATTTCAGAAACCCCATTTCCAGTCCCCCTGCTAGACTCCCAGATTCCCCATCTCCTCAGAGGTCTCTGTGGTCTTGCAGAGAAGATGCTTTGTCAGGGAGGGAAGCAGAGTGAGGACAGACATCAGCAAGCAGGCCGAGCTTTGACCCTCGCGTGGCTCTGAATCTCTGTGTGGTGCTGGGCTTTTGATTCCTTCATGTTCTGCCTGTTCTCAATGTGCAAAGGAAAAGTCTGCAGATGTGATGCAGGAGGACACCAGAGGGGTCCTGGACATAGATGTCCCCCTCACAAGAATATGTTCCTTTATTAGAGTAGTATTACTGCCATCAGTCTTCTCTAACAGGTTGCCTTGGCTTTCTGCGTTTGCTAACATGGGCAGTGACATGTGGTGGCAGTAGTTTCTCCTCATGGCATCTGGTGCCTTCAGACTGTAGTTGGGACCTCATGGGAGGGGAGAGTTTTCTGGCACTGATGCTCTGTTCTTCTAGCACCTATGGTGGAACAAGGGGCCTGGTGCTGTCACCTGCCATATTGTGTTTAGCTCCTGGTGGACATTTCTGCTTCTGTCATACAAACATACCTGTCCCTTGTGTTCTGTAGGTCCCTATGGATACAAGAGGACCTCCCCCTTTACCAGGACCGCTCTGCAGGCCTTTCCCCACAGACTCCCCTTTTATCACCGTTCATAGGCTCTATAAGCCACCTGTAGCTCCCTGGTGTCCTTGGGACGGCACCTACTACCTCCACCTCGACTATTTGTAAGATGATCTGAACAGTAGGAGTTCACTTGTTCAGCATGTCAGGTGTGTCTTGTTGAGTCTTTGAGAAGAGGTAGAGTTGGGCTCCCAGGCCTTACAATGCAAGGGTGCTGCTAGCTGAGGACACTGTTAAGATTCCTCAGTTTCTCAGGACATACATATATTGGACTGTGTCATTTTCTCTTACTGAGCTGGGCTGCAGGTGTCTCTTGAGGAGACAGAAAGAGCCTTTTATAGAAAAGCAGCCATGCAGTTCTTCAGATGTGCCTTGTACAGAGTCCATGTTCCTGGCTCTGTGAGAGATGAGGCACACCCCTACCGTCAGGGGCTTCAGGTATCCTAACAGGGAGAGCGTTATGTGCATTAGATGATATGGAGCTTCTGATCTGCAGTAGTGGAAGCTCGAGGAATGGGTTCTCAAGTACAAGAGCCAGAGACATGAATCTCATGGGAATGAATTGGAGACTGTGGACGAGAAGGAAGAGCTGAGAATGGTGCAGGAGGGAGGGTGTTGGACTCATTGAGATGAAGTTGGAGGCCATTTCTGGCAGGGCCCGCAGCCTGGGCAGGGAGTGTGAGGGCAGCGTGAGATCCACACAGAGCTGCCACATGGGTTCAAGCACAGTTCATTCAGTTATCATCGCTGGAATGTCATTGTGGGCAAAGTGCACCTAGTTCATTATCTAAATAAAGACTGTTGTTTCCCTTGGTTTTCTGAAGGTTCTGGATCTGTGTGAAAGAATGCCCTGGAGATTCATAGTTTAACTTGGTTCTTATGGGATGCTTGTCTGCCTAAGTTTGTGTGCCTCTGTGGGACCAAATGTGAAGAAAGTTTATAGATCTGCTGAGTGGTTTCCTTGGCCTCCAGCCTGAGCCAGTCTCAGTGGGGAATTTAAGGTTGACCAGTAACCACCCCTGCTGGACTCACATCTCCGCACCCCTACATCTGCTGTCACCACCCTGCCTGCAGGTTTGCATCTCCCAACCTTCCCTCACAATATCCTGAGGCATTGCCTGTGTTCCTGCTGTCTCAGCCCTAATACCAGCTCTCAGTGGGGCCATCTCAGAGCCTCAGCTTTGTTATCTGAGAGGTCGGGACAGTGCTGGTTTCTGAGGTCAGTGGGATGAAGACGGGATCAAGCATGTGAAGAATGTGTAAAATGTATGGGATGAGTGGGCACTCACCCTTCCCAGTGTGGAAATGAGTATATCTTCACACAGAAGATCAGAAACAGATGTTCATTCAGTTTTATTAAACTAAGGCTGGGGGATTGGCAATCCCTGTTTCAAAAGACCCCTGTGTTTTTCTATTAAAATCCAGGTCCTAGTATACAAAGAAGGAAAAGATAAGTGAGAAAGTGTACGTTCAGGGATCTGTAGCTAAGATCTGAAGACAATCCTCTTCCATTACAAGCACAGATGCAGCCACACAATTAAGTGTTCATTGAAGGTCACACATATATTGTTGAAGACAAGATGCATAGAAAAGAACAGAAGATCCCATTGTAGTAACTCAAAATCTCTTTGACATCGAGGACAATAGTTTGAAATTTGAAGAAGACCAACCGTGGTGATGATATATTTAGAGATGATGTCTAATCTGTCCCTTGGTCCGAACGCTTTCCGTGCACTTTAGCCTTCTTAGCGTCCCCTAAAACACTCATCACTGTTGTGCCTCTGTGTCGGGGTCTGCTTCAAGGAAAATCGACACTCATTCCCCATCAGGTGCACGCTTTGGAGTTCCTGTACACACAGTTAAAACAGGTAGAGTGTGTAGTATTGGTGGAAGAAGATGGATCATTCCTTGGGGTTGTATTTCCTAGAAGGGACCCATAGTTCCATCTGGGAAGTTGGACACATCCTCTAGGAGCTCTGGCGGCGGTGGTGAATTCTTTAGCTAGATCCTCATGAGCACATAGTGTCTGCTGTTTGTGGATTGTGCTGATGAGCAGGGCAGATGTCTGTCTCCAGGAAAGGGTCTACTGTGATGGTGAAGAATGGATTCAGGAGACCAGTAAGGAGGCCCTGCTTGAATCCAGCTCTTGTGCCTTTCTCCACCTTACCAGCTGCCCCCAGTAGCACTAATCGAGGTGGCCTCCAAGGGGGCAAATGGCAGAAATTTTCGTGGCGAGTCATATGATGTCCCCCAAACCTCCCCCCGTTGCCTTATTGAGGGATGGGGAGGGCAGAGGACAAAGGTATGAGATAGATTCCTTCTACACCACCCAGGAGATTGGGTGTAAGCATATGGCTCCTACACCAGCCAATCCAGTGCACTTGGCCCCAGGGACCCTGAGCCCCGCAGGCCCCTTTTTCCTCTCAGTTTAGGGAACCAGTGAGCCCTCCAGCAGCTTTTGGGTCATGGCTGGGCGACCAAGGGTAAATGTCTGGCTGTCCACCTTGCTGCCAGCATTGCTATAGTAAATGTCAACATGAGCAGCTGTTGTACGGGGGATTCTCATCCATTGTGATCAGGGCCTGGGACAAAACATGACAGGAGACAGGGTGCGACAGGAGTGCCCTGTGCTCCTGGACAGGGCTGCATGCACAGAACAGATGGCCTGAAGCCTGGGGAGAGGTGGAGAAAGAGCCAGGCCCTGA